GGGGGGGGGGGGGGGGGGGGGGTCCAGGTAAGGCTAATCGCGGGTTCGAAGCCCATCTGTGGTTCCGAGTTTTTCTCATATCTTAGTCTTCTTGCGGTTGTATTTCTTAAAGCTGAACATTTATGACTGAAACACTCGTTCGTCACGTAGAAGACACTGGAAAGGTCAAAAAGCTCGATAAATGGGTTCCGCAAGAATCGAACAAATGTTAGCGAAACGATCGTCATCGTCTGTTCTGTGCTTCTTTTACACAGCAGAAACGACCAATTTTCGATCGCGTTGAACGTGCAGTGCAGAATGACTGTTAGGGCAATGGGCAATATTTAGTAAGAAGACTAGAATGGGATAAGGCTCATAAACATTGTACAAATTATAGTTCACAAAAAAAGATGGTTGAGATTTCGGGCATATAGAAATATGTGGAAAACGGTACTTAGTTATAGTTAAACGATCACAGCGGATAAATGGTGTCACGACATCAATGAAATGCATCAAAAACAGCAGTGTACGTAACTTATTCGGATACATTACGCTTCACAATATGTTGCAATAACGCCACAAACTCGAAATCAACTCAAAGGTGAGTTAACAACATCTTCCGTTTTACATTTACTATGATCCACCTATGCTAATATCCACCGATGATCTTGCGTCTACCGATCCGTCATTATTCAAGGTTAGACCCATCAACAGTTGTGTAGATGGACCAACGGATAAAATGGTTTTTAACCCTAATACTCACCTAGTTGTTAAAGCACATTCCACCCCATCCTGCGAACACCCAGATGTTCCTGGATCGTTTACGTAACACATCCTAGCAGCATGTACACGATGGAGTCCTTCGAACGTTACCGCCCTTTGTACAAACGTAATGAATGAGTTCGCTATGAAAGTAATCCTCGAACTCAACAGGTAACATGAAGGCGAAATAAACATGTATGGTTTCACGATTCAGCAGCTGATGGTCATTTTAAACGAATGCCTAAACTGCTCAATCTTCAGATGGTCCGAAAAATATTCCGCATGAAGGGTTGGCAACGGAACAGCGACTGGCAATAAACCATGTCATTGAGTTTATATCTAAGGTAGAAGAAGCAGTAGTCGACTTCGGGGAATTACTCAACTGTAGGTATAAAGATGATCGCTTTTCCATCTGCTCCACAAAAGAAGCGATGGTCAAATGTTTTGAATAACTAAACCAACAGTCAGAGTACGTAAATTATACCCCGGCTATACTGAAGAAAGATTTACTTCAATTTCTGAACGTTCAATTTAATCTATCTGTAGACTGCTACATCGAAGTGGTATCGAAAGGCAAGAAGCAACAGGACATTGGTTCATTACAAAGTATGCCCTATGAGTAGAAACTGTGATTGCATGAGTTCGGGAACGGCTTATTTGGTCTCCCGTAAAGTCTGCTGGGACGAATACATTGGCGAAATGGGTAGACCACTGTGCATCCGTATAAAACACTGTGTAAACTTAAACTTAGTCCACTAGGTGCAGACAAGAGACGGAGATATAATGGGGAAGATTTTGAAGCAGAAGTTACCATCCCCGCACAGGAACCGAGAACTCCAGCGCGAAAACTCTCGAGGCATTCTGAATAAACTCAAAGAACCCAGAAATTTAGGGCACGTAAAAGTTTCTCGTTATCATATGTGATCTCATACAATACCTGAGACTGATATTTCAACGCCAGAGTGGCTTATTTCCCATCATTATAAACTCTGTGCGATTGGTCTCCACGTGTAATACTAGTGGAAGACTCATACAAGGCGCTGAGTGTGCGAAGAAACTATTTTCTTTCCAATGCAACCGAGATCCAGGTTCAGCGATTTTTTTGTCGGGGTTATGGAAGCATTTGGCTGACTGGACCGCAGTGAGTTTGACCAATGCAGGCTATGAGGAAACGAAATCCACTGAAACGCCACGTGCTTATCAAGAAAACAGCGAATTAATGCCGTAAAGTTTGAATGAACTGAGTTACGAAATTCCGCCACAATGGCCATACTCATTAGACCTCTCGACAAACGACTATCACTTCCTCGAGCACCTCGACAACTATCAACCGAGAAAATTACCAATACAGCAATCTAGGATATCGAAGAGAAAACTTTCGTAACTTTTCGGGAAGAAAGTTTGAATTCCAATAATTCCCATCTAAATAATAAACTTATGTTTGAGGCCAGCTATAGCTTTTCAAACTGAGGTTCAAATCCACGTTTTTATACCAATCTAGTAGCTCGCACCCGACTAGCGGTCTTTCATGAGGCCAAAAACTATTGAAACACCACACATCAACCAAAAAATAAACAAGAATAGAAGCACTTACATCTGGTGTGTCATACTGACGACTCATTGCCTCCTGGATCTCGTTGTTCATATCCAACATATCTTCCATTTGATCCTGCATGTCCTCAATCTGAAATAACAAGAGAATGAACCAGTAAGAAAGGTAAAGGCCAACCAGTGGAAATTCTGCAAACGAAGAGGATTCACAACAAGCTGGATTATGATGAATAACTAACCTTGTCTATGTCCATTTTCTTAAACTCTTTCTGCATAGTCTTTAGCCCCGCTTTCATTGCAGCAAGAGTGACCGAAAATCACAGCAAATGAATAAAGCAGTAACACCTACGATACGGGATATAATCGGAAGGTGACCAGTCCCATTACCTGATTATCCTTCATTCCTTGAATAGCAAAATTACTTTGATCCATATTGAAAGCCTGCTGATCGAGTTGTCCTTTCTGGTTTTCGTACATTCGTTTCTGCTTGAGAATTCTCAAAAACCATTCTCATAGGAGAAGAGAAAAACAACGACAACCACCGTCTACCGCACGTACCTCAACGCCTTTTGCTTCAACATATTCTTAGTTGGCCCTTCTCGCATTTTAGCCATCTGATCTCGAAGTTTTACTAGTTCTCCATCTAGTTTTGCTATCTTCTTCTCGATGCTTTCGCCTCGGGATTCGATGTTCGCAATGGCATTATTCAAGTCTGGTGGTGGTTCCTTCTTGCTGGTGCCAAAAATCCGCCTCATTTAGAATGCCAGGAACTTCTGTCAGTACATATGTTACCATCTAGAGTAGACACGTAGCAAATCCACGAAATGCAAATACAGGAAAGGATCGGTACATGGAGAAATCTCTACATATGTTACAAAAAGCCGTCCAGCTTTAATAAGAGAAACCTTGCATGACCTTTCCAATGGTTTACAACCTTATCGTGGTTAAGAGGTGTTTCTGAGTGCCGGACTGCGATGTACTGCGGAGGATTTATTTCCTCAGCATGGCTTCCCAAGCTGAGGAGTCCGGCATTCCCATCAGTAAGCCCAGCTAAGAGTAAACCAATACCTGGATCCACCACCGTCCTGGCATCAAAGTAGTCGCATGGTGGAAAATCTCTCTCTGATCCACAAAGGCGGTAACTGCCTGTGGTGGTGATGACCTGGGCAAACTCTAGCTAGGCTGACCTCGGAACTCCAGGGAACCACGATGGCTAAACCAGCAAAACTCCGAGAAAGTGGAATTATTGCTGGGGACCGCACAACCAGTGAAGACGGCCCATCCAAATATCCAAGTAATCGAGGATGACATATTCCAATACATGGTATGCAACCGAGAAGAATTTAGATGTTACATCCCATCACTTCTGGAACGTTTTCTCATGACCACTGATGGACAACAAATCTGCAACAGTTGCCACTTCCAGAGTGTCCGAAAAACCTATAGAATGCCCAAAATGTGATACGGTGATAACAGTGCTGTAAAGAAGGCTTCAAAAGTCATCCGTGATATTTCACGAAGAACGCAACGAATTCCTCTAGAACTGAGAAAACGACTGAGGTCAATAACACTGAGACCAGACCGACTGCTTCACAGAAAACATTATTCTAAATGGCGAAGAAGTTCCCAGTAGCTGTTGAGCATGAAGCCCCATAGAGTACGTGTTACAAACAGCATCATAGTGACGTTTCGATATAACCCGGTCGTTCCAATGAATTTACGAACTCCGTGAAGAACGAAGTTTCTGCAGAATTCTGGAGGACGCCGTGCACCGACGTTAGTTCCGAGTCATACGGAATTCCGATGACATGGAATGGGATTTCTAAGGTTTCGACTGTTCCCTGAAGACGTATTAACTGGCTATTACTCATAGAATACCTTGAACAAAGAAAAAGCTTTGTATAAGCCAAAATGTGCCTAAGATGAAGGACAACCAAAGCAGATTAGGTTACTAAGAACCTGACTAACACAAACACAGCCGTTTGTCCTCTATGATACTTACTTGGGTACTTGGATAACACGTATTCAGTAGTTGTGCGGTCCCTAGCATAGTCTCCATTCTTCGGAGATCTGCTGGTTCCCTGGAGTTTTGACGAGTCTGGCCAGTGTGCCCACGTCCTCTATGACATGCTCCAGTAAACCCACGACGAAAGAGAATAATTAATGGTAATAAAGACGACACATCCAGCGGTCGTAATGAGGATATGAAACTGTCCGAAGAAAAGTAGGAGGATAAGTACTGAACGAGAATGATCATCAGCTGACTTAACCAAATCTTTCACCCAACTGGCACTGCTCCAACATTTTCGTTTCAGGACCTTATTTTGGAATGGATCGCGCTGCATAGCGTTCATGACGCGGCTGTTCGTTAGGAGACTTTGGGTATCGTCGTCAAGTATGCATATGGAGTGTAAACTATGATTGATTGGTGAGCTTAAGCTAGTAAAGAATGGTGGGGTAAACACGATGTCTAAGGCATAAGTGCTCCTAGGACTTACGAATTACTCCTTAGGTCAGTAGCGCTCTAATGTTCTTAAGGACAGACTCATTGTCTCCGTTCGTATATATCGTTGTGCTGTTTACTTCCTTCTTTATTCACTGTGTAGATAGTTTTTCACTTTTAGCTCGAAGCTCCGGGTAGAATCTTAGCTCTCAGTAAGTTCTTAGTGCACTTTACGAGTTGCTGATTCAAGCCTAAACGTCGTTATGCAAGATATAGAGGTTTCGGCTTCTGATATTCCTTATACAGAATCGATGGAAACTGGTGATCTTAAGGTACGATTGTGGTTCCTAGCTCGCTTTAACTTATCTATTTTATGGTCCTTAAGACGCTAACGTTTTGTCGTGTTTGATTGTCGTCACTGGAAATCGTATTTATTACTGGTTTACTACTAGTTCTCTCTTCGAGGTCGATGTTTATTTACCCATTTTCTGTTCTGTTTTAGTCTCGATCAAGACACATGACTTTGGTTTTTCGTTCTTCCGTTATTTTTTTCTTCTTACTTTGTCGTATATGATAGAGTTAACCCATTTATTTCGTTCTGTTAGGTTACCATACCCATGGATGTTGATTCTAAAGGGACTGACGACGCCGATGGAAACGGGAAAGACAGGAAGGAAGAGAAGAAGGAAAATGGACTGATCGAGAACATTGACATCAGCCGAGTAATTCTTTTCTAGAACTTTATAATTGTGTTGTTGTGACGTCAGCAGTTGTTTATAACTTCATCTACTCAAAGTAGAGCTAAGAATTCTTCTAAGGTGTGTTGCTCATTTAGGAAGCACGGAATCGTGTCAAATTGTACGTGTTATGTGATCAACGAGTGTGGGATGATCGTGGCACGGGACACGTAGCCTGTGTTCAGATCCCTGACCAACAAGGATTCGTTATTATCGTCCGATTGGAATCGGCAACCAGTGGAACAGGTCAGATCGGATTTCATTTTCTTTTCTTTCTTGTCTTTATCACTTAATGTTTCTTTAATTAGAAATGGGTTGAGACATTTCAGACAAGAATGTCTTGGAATCAAAAATTCTCATGGATACCGTTTATCAGAAACAGCAGGTATGCAAATTTTGGTGGTTGGTTGTTCTCATTGATTTCCTACTCGATAGCTTTTGGTACCTTTTTTTATACCCTCCTCTAATTTTTCCTTCATTGGATTCATTCATTCTGTCTGTGAAAGCGTTCGAACGTCATTACTGTTTTCTTCTTCCTATGAATGTTTTCCAGATGTGCACATTCTTAACATACTAGACAGTACGAATCATAGCTGGTTCAAGTGACCTATACATGACTCATTTCGGCTTTTCGACGTTCAACATTCCTCATTTTGTGAAGGAATTTCAGCTGGGCGGAAAGCTCTTTTCGTCTGCGGTTGTTTGCCGACCCGCTGTGCATCTCTTTTCCTACTTAGTAGACCCAGTTTTTTCCTTTTCTCTTAAAAGTCTTTTTTTTCACGTTTTTCTTCTTCGAGTTTCGTATCTCAAGGAGCTCAGCGACCAAGGGATCAGTTTGAGTCCAGCAGAGATCTTAGTATCGCCAAATCCAGTATTGATCGTTGCGCTTGTTTTAAGATTTTAAAAGTTTCAACTTTTCATTTGAAAATTTGCATATTCTGATCGTTTTAGGTTATTTTAAGTCATAATGATATAGTTTTGTCCTAGTTACTGAAGAATTACCAGTAGTTATTCGGAAACCCGCATAATTGCGAATATGTTAACAAGTACTTAGAGTTCTTTTACTGTACAGTGAGTGAGTTGCAGCTCGAAGGGTTATTTTTAACGCTTTGCTGTTCGCATGGTGCCAAGACGTTCTCGTAATACTGAAGATGTTTCTTGGAAACAACCTCTTGTTCCTTACCTATCAGTAGTCCGTACTGTTAGCGGCAACAGTATCGTTGTAAGTTTAACGTATATGAATTGATCTTACGTAACGTCGTCGTTTACCAGCGTAACCAATTGTTTTAGTCAATTGAAAAGGGATAACCCACAAGAGTTTGTGGGTCAAGCTGTTTACTAATTTATTCAAAGTTGAAGGAGCAAAGACAGGTTGCCATCCTCATTACTATACTTTGTACTATGTTAGTCTAGAGATTTCCATTTATTTCCTGTGAATATTTTGTATCCCTTGCGTTCATATTTCGTTTCTATGTTCTTGAAGAGCAGAAGAATCCAATGATTCTTTTCCAACACCTGATCGATGAAAGCGACAGGTATTGAACGTGAAGTCGAGCATCACCATAATTAGAATCATAGCTTTTGAAAGCAAAAACAACCCACTTGTCGAAATACGTGGGTTTCGGTTGAATTTCAAAGCATATTTTGCTTGACCGTTTTCTCATGCCATTTCTTCGAAACCAGTTCAGAGTCCTCAAGTACAACTTGAGCAGAAGTTGACAAGTATTGGGATGTACGGGAATTTTCAGTTTTCCCTTTTAGTTCTAAGTCATTTTCCTTGTTACTGTTGTGGCACGCTTCACACTTTTTACATCCTAATCTCTATTTGTCCGCTATGATTATTTGATTCTCTACGCAGTAATGTTTACTAAATGTGACCCGAAATAGCTAAATTTTGTTATTTAATCATATTTGAGTTATGAGACTTTCGACTGGTGTAGTAGTTTTAATAACAAAATCGGAGCCTATATTGTCCGGATTGTTGAGCACGGTTTAGTTAAGGTTTAGGCTTTCCTCTTCAGTCTTGGAAATTCGTTCGTTCCTTTTCATTTTTCTTCGTGTTACGCTCGTATAAGGCTGATGTAGATTTATCTGGTTTTCTCAATGCTAAAGTGATGAGTTTTTGAAATGTTTTTCCCCATTATTGTTTCGTTATTTCTTTTTCTGGTAATAACAATGGTATTTTCAATGCTTTGTGTAAAAAAATGTGAGCATGCTTTCAACATATTCGTTCGTCCATCTTAATCCCTTTCTCGCTTCATTCGCTATTATTGTCAGGGTTTTGAGTTGGAAATGTAGACATGGGAGGACGCAGTGTTTTTGCGTTCACATCAGGTTTGGCTCGCTGTCTGGTTTACGAATGAATCTTTCTTCTGTCAGTATGATGGGTGTTTCGTTCTGCTTGGTGAAGAAATGTTCAATCTTTGTGATGACAACTGAATCCGATATTTCCGCTCCGTTGAAAAGAGAAAGGGTTCTTTGTTACATGGTACTTGAGCACTTTTTTTAAACTTATTTTATATTCTGTACAGAAGATGTTACAGCTTTAAATCATCTACGCATATCTAAGTATCTGCTCAAATCTTGTCGTTTAACAGTAGGTATCGTTCTATGTGTATCATTTGAGCTATAGATAACCTTCTGGGTAGTAGTGGCTTTCCTATCACGTGGTGAGTTGGAGTTATGCTTCGTGTTGCTTTAGGCTTCGTTTTATGTCATAAAGTGTATATCTAAGCTACTGCATACGAATAAGGTATATGTGTAAACCATGTTGAAGGGAATTCGTAATGAGCAAAAGTGCATAATTCCTTCGTCTTAGAACTATTTATTCAACACAATTCTTCCATTAACACAGCAAAGTGTTTCCCACGACCGATTTTCTATTATACTCGGCGTTGATTAAATAGTTCTCAATATTCTTTTTGAGAAAACACGAAGTGTTACAATGTTCTTTACTTCGTTAAAGCTGTCGTTTCGGCAGTATCGTCTTCTTGAGAGCATCGAAGGGTGTACAACAAAGTGTGATTTTCAGTACCTTTCTTGCTATGTGAGAGGTTAGAGGACGACATAAGTACTTTGTTTATTTAAGTTGTAGTGGGTTTAGTTTCCATAATGTGAACTGGAAGGTCATTCTTTGGTACATGCATGAATGTAAGTAAGCCTTTCTTCTAATGAACACATAGATAGTTATGTCTGGATTAGTTAAGATTTCTTTTTTTAGTGATGGGACTTTTTGTTGAAGTTCGTGATGAAGTGTTTATAAAATGAGATAATTACTAGTTTGTTCGCTTCGATGTATTCGGTTTTGCACTCTGCACTTAAAGCGTTTTTTTTTCAATCGATTAGTTTTCTTTTGTTTGTTACTACCATTTATTAATACACATGTATTGCCTTAAGCTTCATGCTTTGTTGTTTTCTGTCGTAGTTTTGTTCGACACTAAAAGCTTTACTAACAAACGAGTCAGTCATGCTTATCCTAGAGTTTTAAATTCGAAGATAGTGGTCTCTGTGCAAACAGGTAATGGACACTTTTAAAGGGCCCTGACACTAGCGATGACACCCAGTTTTGAGCTTTTGAGGATTTTCTGGTTTTCTTTTATAAAGGGCGATATTTTATAGATAATTGGAGGATTTGTAAAAAAATGGCAGGGTTCTACAACAAATTTTGCTGTATTGTTCAATGAGTCTTAATGTTGTGTATGCCGCTCTGTGTTAACATGGTCCAGGGGCGCGTGTAGCGCAGTGGTTTGAGAAGCTCTGCAACACACACGAGATCGATCTCTGCGCCCAAGTCTCACTAGCCCCTCCATCCCTGCAGGGTCGTCAGCAGTGGTTCGATACATTGGTAGGCTCCCGCTTGTCATTTTATGGGCCAGATATGCATTCAGTGGTCTTTAGCTATGCTTTGTGAAGGCGAATGCATTGCGCATCCCTCAGAGGTTGATCATCGCCGGAGGTTTTATCCTTTATCCTTATCCTTACTACGGTCCATCATACAAATACATTGCTGGTAGAATTTTGTAGCGTTTTCAGTTTATCCTGAGTCCGTTTCGATATGTTTTCATCCGCACATAACATCCGATTTCAATGAGTCGTTATAGTGATTGAAATGAATTAGCAGTTAACTGTTGGTCAAGTTACCGGTGAATGAACTTGTCCGAAAAAAAATGTCTTGAGAATAGGGAATAGGTTTTTTGGTTCGACCCTCTGCTACGTTGATTTGCTTTCTGTTAACTATCGAATATTCATAATAGAGTGATAAAACATTTCTATAGCTCGCTGAGCTGGAACTGGACACAGTGCGTTCACATTATGTCCTTGCGCCGATATGTTTGGACGTATACGTCCAAATCGTCCATTATGTGTTAACACATTCGTGAATGATTGGGTGGATGGACAATTATCGATAATTTTTTGTTAGCTAGAGTAAATGAGATGTTGGAGAACTCTACGGTTTCTTAGAAAGGACTGCCCTATCACTTTAAATTTGTATCTAATTTATTGTTCCTCAAGAATTCATTTAAATTCGTTTGAAATCCCAGCTTTTAAACATTTGATTGACACGTCTAAGTTTTCCTTGATCTTTAACACTAGCGCAAGAGCAGCAGAAATTAACGATCCATTTTAGGTAGGGTCACATTGGGTGGAATCCCTTTTGTTAACCCGCTTCTCTCCCCGAGATACGAGCCTGGGCGAAGGTGAAAAAGCGTTTTTGGACTCAAGAAACTATTATATTTATTTAGAAACTATTGTATTATATTAAAAAAGATATTTATTAAAGTACCTTAATAGCGACTGTTCTTTTTTTGGCAAAGATATTTAGACCCTGGTAACTTTTTTTGTTTGATAAATTTTCCCATACACTGAAGCCTGTGTGTTTAAGATTGAATGACAATATTGCTTTAATGCACGTACGTATTGAAATCAGTGCGCGTTGTGTCATTTTGGGGAAAGATGAGAGGGTGCAGTAAATCCAGTGGATTTTCGTTGAAACAAGTTATTAAAGAAGTTCGAATTTTCATGTGAGAAGTTGAATAAACCATTATACGATACAGGATTCAAAAATCTGATATATTGCATTAAACATTAATGAAAACTTATATTTCCAAGAAGTCAGTCATTCCTACTATGAAATCGGACGCTTCATATAGAAAAGTTTAATGCGATGAAATGACGACTTTCGCTGCATATTTTTAGTTGTGTTGGGTGGAGGCTTTAATCTGAACAAGTTAACCTTATAATATAGCGGTGTGTTAACTGAAGTTTGGAAGCAACGAAGAACTGTTTAGGTAATGCATAGTGGTAATTTAACGCAGTGTGCTTCTGTGGTTTAATGTCCTCAACATTCCTAATTCCTCTTCGGAGCGAGGTTTGTGTCGTCATCAGATTAATTGTTGGAGCGTTGTGTTTGTCTTTGCAGCACCGATATACTTTGAGATTTCGAAAAGCCAATTAGTTAATTGTGTTTCATATCAGCGTGTGTTTTTCTCTATATGTATATCGACAGGGTTTTATCAGGTATAATTAGCCAAATGGGCTACTTATCCCTATTAGCTGTTTAGAGCGAACGTTTATTTCGCTAGGTTTGTCGTCTATTAGTCCGACGAATATATTAATATAAAAGTTGCCAAGCGACTCATGGACTCGTCCTTTACGTATCTTCAAGTGTCGCATGGGTGCTTGTTAGATTTTAAGATCTTGTTTTTCTAACCAAAACGAGTGTTTGAACATATTATCATTGTTGTTATTTTTATTATCACTGTTATTGTTAATGCCGGTTGTTTTTTATTATTCATTGCCATTATTATTATCATTATTGTAATTATTTTATCTTTGTTATTATTGTTACAATAATAATATTATTATTATTACTACTATTATTATTACCGTTGCTTCTATATTGTTACTGTTGTCATTACTATTATTGTTGTTGTTGTTGTCATTACCATTATCACTACTATTATTTTCCACGACCGACTTTCTATTAACCTCGGCATTGATCAAGTAATTCTTCGTATTTTTGTTACTCTGGTTAGTACTATTGTTTTCACTTGCTATTGCCGTTAATAATAGCTATTACTACTATTGTCGTTATTTATTTGTTTTTATAATTATACTATAGAGGTGATACATGGCCTCATGTGTTATATTCGACCAACTTATAGAAATTTTGACACTGGCGGTCTCACATGCTCGTGGACTCGTTTTTCCTATGAGATGAATGGAATCGGTAGTGGTGATTATGAACGGGGATCTGTTTTTCAAGATTGTTTACGTTCCGGGGCATTGCAGTTTGCTGTGCTTAATATTTTAGAAGTAGGAAGTACCTTTTGCTATTAGCTTTTGGCCTAAGAGTATTCTATACCTAAAACATCGGAGTGGTTTAATTTGGGTGGGATCTTTCAGGAAGTTCTCACCTAAATTCGTGTTTCTAGGGAGGGACAAGTTCTGCTTTTTTTAGCCATGCACAGGAAATATTGATGTATTGAAAATAAAATACATAAAATTCCTACAACTTTATTGTTGATATGCATGAAGCTTTGGATATGTTGGTGTTTCATGTTCTCCCATTGTTTTCTCCATATTTAAATGATTGTTTAGAGATCTGTTTTTATTATAACTCTCGCTTGAAAACTCCTTACGGTTAAGTCACACTGCTTTTTTTTAAAGCGTCTTTAACCAGTCAGAATCAGCGAAAAACTTGAACTGGGAGAATCCACCAATTATCCAGAGTCCAGCGTTCTGCTAATCCCATGCCTCACTGATTCTATATTTTTGAAAAGTACTATTAAATTTTAGTGTAATTTGATTAGGGAATTAACGGAAACTAGTGTTTCATGAAGAGAAAATTTGTTGTTTTGCTGTATTTCTAAGGTTGTCATTTGGCAGAGTGTATTCCTACGTCATATTTGTCCACTTAGTCTGTACTTTTTTGAGGAAACGCTGATTGTGTGGTCGGAATCGGATACCTGCGACCTGGCGCTAAGCTTCCAGGAGAAGTCAGGTTGTGAGGAAATTTGGGCCAAGATCTGTGAGGTACAAGGACGTGATCCTGGTGATTCGGTACTGTCTTTTCCACGTTTAGCTAATTCATCGAGCTCAAATCTAATGTTAGCGTAAAATTTCACAACGTTTTTAGACAAAGTGTGTTTTTTTTTGTCAGCTGTCGTATATACCGTTAAAAACATATACCGTCGTACGACGGTATATGTTTTTAACCGTATTTATTTAACGAATAACGGAAAAAGCAGACTATGAGTGTGGTTAAAGGTGTGCTGCTTGAGATTTAAGAGCAGAGTTAATACAAAACGCTTAGTTCTAACTTTTTCTTAAATTTATTCATATAAATCACAATCTCCTCACTTTTTTATATACTGCCTATTCTATATTATTTGTAATATAATCCCGATGATGCTGAGATATTTGCAAAACTCCGGACCGCAGGTGTCTGCTGTGGGGACCAAACACGCTATTACCCTTTCTGGGGGATAGCGTGTTCACTGCAACACCGTACGTGTCCTTCGTTTCACATTTCCATCAGTCGTATTATTGAACTGGTTACTTTTCCGTATATTTCTATCAGAGCATCTGTAGTTTTTTTTTTTCATAACGGTAGAAAATATGTTACAATGTCGAATTTTCAGCACGTTTTTATCGGTTGTCTAGGAAGAATTTAGTAGCATTATTTCATTGCTGGTTAATAATCTGGTAATTGTTGTGAAATAGACTTCTAAAATATTGGAAATTAGGAGGAAAAGTTAGATATACAATCATATTTTTGTATTATTATGATGTTACTGTTATTATGTTACAATTGCCATTGTTGTAGTACTAAACATTGCAAAAATTGGGCTAGAACACTAATAGCTTTAGTGGATTGGTAACTGGTCTTCGCAGTCTTCTAGTTCATGCGCCATCCTCTCATTAACGATCTCCACTCCCCAGGCTCACCGGGCCTTTCGCCCTCCGGAGTCTGCAAATTGCTACCAGATTTTTCTGGGAGGATAGCAGCACTGGCTCGATACGTCGGTAGGCCATCTCGAGTCACTGTAAAGGGCAGGTGTGCATTTAGTCACCTCCAAACGAGGTTTAATGAAGTGGAATGCATGGCGCATCTCAGGGATTGATCAATGCCGAGAGCTGTATCCTTTTTTTTTATCCTTCGATAACTTTAGTGCAATAATTGTCGTTTTACACATATCTTGATGGAAAATTCTAGAATTATTTCTATGCGAAGCTCTTAATACTAATGCGAGTACTTGGGTGGCCTGTCCTCGATAGTTGTGCAGGCGCCTGAAAAAATTTTCACTCTTCAGAATTTTACTGGTTTAGCTGTTGTGTTTCGCTGGAGTCCCAAGATCAGCCTGGCCAAACTCTGCTCCAGGTGGTTAGCACCGCAGATAGTCGACGCCTGCGTGGATCAGAAGTAGACTTGCCACAAGGCGGAAGGTTTTATACTAGGAATCTGAATTGTTACCAGATGGATCCTGGTATTGGTTTTCTCTTAGCTAAGCTTCTTGATGGAATCGCCGGACTCCTCAACTTGCGAGACCTTGTGAGGGATGAATCCCTCCGCCGCACATCGCAACCTGACACTCAGGAACATCTCGCAGCCACAATAAGGCGGTAAACCGTTAGGAGGTATTCATACATAGGGGGTACATATAAACTATATTCATGTACACGTAAATATACATAAATACTTGTGTTTACAGAAGCAAAATAAATATGAGCAAATGTAAAAATAAGAGTAGAAACAGGGTACAGATGGAGTATTATGTGAATAATATTATATAAATAAACATATGTGCGCGTATATCTACAGGTATTGTTATTTTATAGGATGGTGGTTATGATGAAATGGATGACGGTGAATTGAGCGAGGGATCCTCAAACGCTTTGTCAAATACCAGTGCCGGTGGTCGTGTAGTTTTGCCACCAATTGAAATTGCTCGACTTGCTGAAGTGGACACCGTCATACAGAATCATCTTGCATCACAAGCATTGCGAGAAAAAATGGCGAGCGCGATTGAGGCAGAAGGGTCAGTTTCTTCCATTTATGGTTTTTTTCTTCTGTAGTCATAACTAACTTGTTCTAGTGTTTTGCCGAAATTAGCTGACATATTCCATATGTGTGAAGATATTGAACATAGCGATGGTCTGAGAACGTTGTACTCAATTGCGAAGAACTTGTTCATGTTAAATAGGAATAGCCTGAACGACGTATGTGCTTTTATTTACACATAAGAAAGATTTTCTTCCCAACTAGTCACATCTGTTTTTGTAAAGTAAGGATATGTGTGTCGAAATGATTAGAGGTACCCTCTAGTATATAGTGGTCGTTGGGACAATCTCGCTCTCCGAATTAGCCAAGCCTTCCATCCATTCCCGGAGACAAATTGTTACCACTTTTGTCTAGACGTAGAAAAACTGACTTAATAAATCATAATGTCGTCAATTTTTGTTTGCTGTCTGCTCTTTTTAAATGACAGGTTAGTGTGTGAAATGTAATCATAATGATGCTGAGATATTTGCAGAACATCGGATCGCAGGTGTTTGCGGTGGGGAACGAATGCGCTATTACCAGTTCCGCGACTAACGCGTTTACTATCGCACCGTGCGAGTCCTTCGTTTCGCCTTTATCTCTGCAGGTCAATAACACGGCCGAGAACAATGCCTTAAGCCCTAGAAAGGGTACTAGCACGTTCGTTCCCCACTGTGAGCACCAGCGATCCGGAGTCTTGCAAATATCTTACCATTACTATGATTTAATAAGCACTGACCGGGTATGGCACTCCTAGTTGGCATATAGATGTGCACTAGGTCAACTCTACGTTACTTCGGTCAAATACGCTGCGCTTCCTTAACCCTTTCTTAACGAAGCTAGTCTTGATAACTGCCAATAATTTCTTGATCACCAGAGTATTTTATGAGGTTAGAACCGATTAGATTTGTAGGGCAGATGTTGTTCTGTCGCGGTAATTGCATACACATTTTTTATTCAGGTTGGTTTTAAATTTGAATTTTTGGAGCTAAAGTTTTCAGAAGTTGAAAACAAAATTTAACTTTGGAAATTTTAAAAATACAAAAGCAGCAGCTGCAAACACAAACGATACAGCTGTAATGCCATTTTAGACAATACCCTCTTTGTTAATTTGCTCCAACGTTTGAAATATGAGCTTTTGAGCAATGAAGTGGAAGAAATATGTGTCATGAGGTTGAGGAATCAGAATATCGTCATAACGAGCTAAGGAGACTTTTATCTCGTAGGCAAAGAGTTGCTGGTTGTAACTGCTTTTTTTGTAATGGGTGGAATTCAGTGTTAGCTGAGATATGTTGGTTTAAAGTTGAAAGCGGCGGTTGCTTTCGCGTCGTATCACACCCACAGAGGTCACGTCGTCGCATGAGTGTTAGGCCAGTTGTCAACGCCGAACTCTCGCTACGATAAGCGAGAAATATTGCTCAATCGTTCGAATCATTTTTTAATAGGATTGTGAGAAAGATGTCGTTGAAGTCTGCTAAGTGAAGCTTAGTTTTCTGGATATTACGTTTTTCATAGGCAATATTTTACGGTTCAATCAAATGGTGTGTTTATCGGGAAACCTTAAAATCAAAACATATCACAAAATTTGTGTTCCACTTGTAAATTCCTTGTAGAATATTGGGTGTGGGTAACAGAAAGAGTTAGAGTTTCCAATCTATGAACCTATTTGTGTTTTTCTCCGCCTCTTCAAGTCGACCACAGAAAGCTAGAGGGTTTATCTCTCTGCGACACATTGCTTCAGGTTATAGTCTTCGCGCATTTCTCCCATTGAACTTTCGACTTGCTACATTTTTTTTTATTCTATACTGTGATAATGTAAAGAACTTTGTTCAGTAACGATCCTTGAATGGTTTTAACACCGTTTCTTCTTATTCGTCTCGTAAGCTTCTCGCATATTTGCCATACTCGTTTTTTGTTAGCTACTAATTTTTCATACTTTTTTTTCAGTTACTTGTCAGCGACAAATATCTAAAGGACATGATTGGTATGCTTGAGTATGATCCAGCCCACGAGTCACCTCGTAAACATCGGGAATTTCTTTACGAAAAAGCGAAATTTCGTGAAGTTTTGCCAATCGCTAATGATGAACTTAAGTTAGTTTTTTATTGAAATTTTGATGTCTTTTGTGGTAGATTTTGAGGCGTAGTTTTTTAGAGTTAGTCGTATTTTCAGGGACAAAATCCATCAAACCTACAGAGTCCAATATTTGCAAGACGTATGTCTGCCGGCGCCATCGCTTTTCGAGGAGAATCTCCTGTCAGTCTTGAATAGTTACCTGTTTTTCAATCGTATCGACATTGTGAACATGCTTCAGGTCTGTATTTTATGTGGTCGGTGATAAGACCAAGTTTCTTCTATTATTGTTTTGTACATTACTAAACAGCAGAGATATTTTAGAAGGATAAGCGGTTAATGAAAGAATTGTTCGATCAATTGCGCGACCCTCAGACAACCGTTTCGAGGAGGAGGGATCTGGCACTGTTCTTGAAGGAGTTCATCACATTTAGTCAAGGCCTGCCTCCCAATGGTGTACAGAGCAAGGACAATTTTTTCAAAGTACTTATTTGCTTTCTTCGTACAAAATGATTTTCTCTTGGTGTTCTATTCGTTTTGGAATCCAATCAGTACGAGCAGTTTATAACTTTCACAAGAACTCCTTGTCGATAGTTGGGGGTTTATTTCAGTTGTATCTAAAATTGCCTTTATGTCAGAACCTTCAAGCAAATGATGTTCTTGGCACCATTGAACCGTGTATCAAATCACCTGATTACGAAACACGAGTCACTATAGTTGATATGCTTGCGTTACTTGTTGATCATAGCCCGCAGCTCGTGAGGGACTACTTGTTAAGACAAGCCAAGGACAAGAGTGATGTAAGTTTTTCGGTCATATTGACTGAATAGTAATAAATAGTTCATATTTTTATGATCATTTCGTGTGTTTAGGAAGACGTTTTGTTAAATCGTCTTCTTATCCATATGCAAACTGATCGCGATCCTGAGCTCACATCTGGGAGCCAGGTGTCACAGGTAGTGCATATAACCGTTTTTAATGACTAATTTCTGGTGGTTCCTATCAAAATCTTGATGAGTTTCAGGTTCTTCGAACACTCCTGGATCCAGATAATATGGTCTCTATGCAAAAATCTGATCGATCCGAGTTTCTCAGTCTTTTTTATCAGAGGTCAATATTTACTCTCGTGAGACCAATGGTAGAAAATGTCAAGGGAGGTACTATAAAGCGTGGTAAGTTCTTTCCTTTTGCACATATTGTTCACGGAAGAATTGCATCCAACCGTTGAATATTCTTTCATGAACTCGTTGGTGAAATTGAAAAATTCCCAAAATCCAATCGTCGTGAATTCAGATGACTATTGCACTGCTAACCGGCAGTCATTGATTGTTCGGTTATTATGTTTTTGTATCGAACATCACTCGTTTTCTATGCGGCAACACTGTATTTCGAACGACTTGCTCAACAAAGTGCTCGTACTCTTACAAAGCGAACACCATTTTTTGGCTTTAGGTTGGTTGGTTATTGTTGTTGTATTCGTGGTATCTTCTCAAAAATTATGTTTAGGTGCTCTGAAGATGCTACGTACTGTTCTGGCAGTGAAAGACGATTTTTACAATCGGTATATCGTGAGGGAGAAGGTGCTGGATCGGGTTGTCGAATGTTTTGTCCGTAATGGAGCACGATACAATCTCCTAAACTCTGCAATGCTTGAACTCTTCGACTATATTCGTTCGGTTCGTTGATTTGCAGTTGTATTTAAAACATGTAAAGGCAAACGGTGCTGTTAATACGACTATCGGTTTTAGGAGGACATCAAGCTGTTAGTGAAATACACGGTGGAAAATCATATGGCGGTATTTGAAGAAGTGACCTATGTAAAGTTGTTCTCCGAATTGAAAATACGTTATGAACAACAACGTGATCGTGAAAATAACTCGAAGATCACCGTCGAGCAACGAGTACCCAGTCCAGCTGCGTTTGTGAAAGAGCGGCAGGTTACTTTTTAAACTTGTTCACTGCCATTTTTTTTTCCAAACTGTAGTGAATTCGTGATCATTATTATGCTATCTCATTTTATAACTATATAGCACGTTGTCATCTTTCTGTAGCCGTCTATTTAGGAAGAACAGTGGTTTGATGGCGATGATGAGGACACAACGGAGAGCAGGAAGGAAATTGTTGAAGCGAAAAAGGAAGTGAAAAAGGATCCAGATTGTCATCGAAAAGCTGCAGTTGAGTTGATGTTTCCATCCGTTCTGAAACGAAAGAACGCCTTTGATGAAGACGACGAAGCAGTGTTCAGTGGGCAGCCAGCGACTCCGTTGGCATCAGTGAACGTGATGGCAGAGAAGAAGATTGTAATCAAAGTACTTTTTACCGTCGTATACCTGTTTATTTACATAAACGTTCATGGTTTTATTTAAGATGAACGATCGATCTCGAACTCCATCACCATTAGGATCACCGTCATCATCTGGAAGTCAGCTTGCCTCGCAAGCTCGTGAAGACGAGGTCTCCTCTTCGCAGAATAATAGTAAAGAGAATAGTCCGTCACTGGGTGTCAAGGTATTCTTAACGTTTCAAGTTCAATTTCATCTGTGTTCAGAGAGGAAATAGGTATCCTTTGTTTCAAAACATTTAGTCGTTGGTCGATTATGATGAATCGGACTCTGATGAAGACGAAAACAGTGCGCCGAATGATTTGATGCCGTCTTCATCCACTGGCAGTCCAGTGCAGCTGAGTTCTAGTCATGAAACGGATGGCACAACAAGAGCCGAGTCGGCCGCTGCCGTCTCACCAGTAGGAGGCGACATGTCGTCTTGTGACGACGATGTCTCATCAACTAGTGGAGAAGAGGAATCATCAGTGAGTGGTGCGCCATTGTTACGAAGAAAGCGGTCGTCACATACGGACATCAACGATGAAATAATGAAGAGAATCCGTTCCACTTCGGACACTTGATGTTCACCTGCAACCAGTTGAGTAAAATCAGTTTATTTTGTCGTTTTGTTATAGCGTATGTTTTAAATTTCTAGCGATGAGAATGATGGATTGCATTGTGGTTGCTACCAGGCCTTCGACTTCGATCTCGAAATTGGCTCCTTGTCCTTCTATGTGGCCTTTCGCTGTCGGTTTTTGTAATTTCCCTGTATCTCTTTCAGACGCACACATAAATACCACTGTAGAATGGATATTAGAAATCCTTTGGAACAAAAGTGGTAACTATCACCACATTGTAGTGCGGATTGTTTTTGTGTATGTGATACGTGGATCTGATTTAATCATATATGTGTATAGGACGTCGTGCTTGTACATAAACGCGCTCAAGTGTTTTTTTGAATCCTTCTAAAGCTCTGTAACAAAAGTAATAATCAATCCGGTTAGTAAGATTTGTCGCCCTAATGTTTCTGTCAACAATCTTTTTAAAAAAGGTTTGTTCTAGTTTGTCAGCAGAATAGTATGCTGTGATCTTTTTCATACTGGGTATTGTTGCAGCTGACTCATTTCTTACGTCCGAAAAATACTCAGCCGTTCCCCACGTACTTGAAATTGTCTTGTATGTACTCATTTGTGGCGAATCGTCTAGGTTGTTCTTACTGTACAAGCTTGTAATTGGTTTGTATTGTTGCTAATCAATGGGCGTGATTTGTTCTGCATTCTTCAGGAAGTTCTGTATGGTCATCGCACTCTTGTCTTATATCGTGCACGCCTTCTCTGGTTAGCAGCGTTGTTTATAGTGCCCATCTATTTATTTCGTTCCTAATTGTTTCGTTTTTTTTTTGTGGTGCAGGTTTAGTATTACCACAAGGATATGGTTGACAGCAACAATAAAACTATTGTTAAAGGTGTTTCATTCCCTTCGTTTAGTGCTTTCATCATGGAATTGGAAGCGATCTCATTATACGGAGATAAAAGTTGTTGTAAGTGGTTAAAATAAAGGATTCAGTAAAATTATCTTCGTGACGAACATCCTCAAAATTGGCGCGGTAAAGTCAGTGTAAGAGGTCCCACGTAGACTCAACTGCACTGGTTTTCAACTATATTCCGTGAAAAGTCAGTCTTCGAGTGAAGGGCGAATCCGCACGCCTTAGTGAATGGCAGGTTCGAGGAACGCAACGAATCGGATGGGAGGAGATGTTCGGTTCATCACAGTGTCATGTGAAGTCGGTTTATATAGATGAATTTGAGAAAAAGCAAAAGAAGTGTTCAACGTGGAATAGAAAGGGAAATGAAGCTTAGGCTATTCACATGATTCAAGACCTGTTGCAGTTTTCTCGTTGTCTGACTTACAGTAACCAAAGTTTTCCTATCAGCTAATGTTTACTTCTACTTCCTTTTTAAAACGTTTTCTACAAAGCGCGAATTTTTTGCCAACTGCCAGTTGTTTTTCGTTAACTGGAAAACCTGGTGGGATTTGAGGACTTCGCAAGCCAATGTTTGTGCAACATTGTTCAAAGAGTAGAACTTCGCTAATGGATTGTTCTTGCACCAACTTCCTTAAACGCTAAAATTTTCGAAAGGTAGAAAAGTTAGGCCAGAATTGTTGAACATTTTATCAATGCAGACTGCAGACTACGGTGATTGGATGGAATTAGTAGTTTCAGTTGTTAAGTTAGGTTTGGGAGCTTCGATGTTAAAAAGTGAGCGACAGTAAGTCAGAACTTCATTGTATTAGGAAGACAGAAATTTACCTTGTTCCGAAAGATCTGTGGACTATAGTGGGCTTTATTTCAGTTAATAAAGTTTATCTTTTCTGTTTCGTCCGAAAGTATTCGCCTAAACCTGGGAAGCCGGATAACTTTTCGGCCACATGTGCATTGAAATCAGTGTGTACTGCAATGAATGTCTTAATCACTTTCGACTGTCTGTCCTTAGCGAATCGTTATCTGGAATAAGAAAACCAGTGACCAAAATGTTAAGTAGTAACTGCTCCGAAATAGACACGGTTTATTTGCAAAACAGCACCATCCAATGAAATAACTACAATCGTTATCATCATTTAGAGAGCTTTATCTTAATTTGGATTCGGCACGTTGCATCATGGTCGAGTGCTTAGTTGACTAATTCAGGATTCACTGGTACCATACGAATCTGTTGTGCAGTAAAAATACTGTAAAAATACTAATACTGTACTGTAAAATACTGTAAAAAAAGAGTTGGGCAGCAAATTTTCTGATCTACAAGAGCAGGGGAACAGTTGCAGTGAAGAAGAGGGAGCGATATAGCAGAACAACAACGGGTATCCTAGAGGAATTACCCTCGAACAGCATTGAGCATTCAATGACGATAGCATAACATATTCTGAGGTTGCATCCGAGTATGTAGACAGACCTGGAAATTTCTATGGGCGACAGATGCATGGTAACGAAAAGAGTACAAGATGTGGTGGAAAATATGCCCTCTTCTCAAATACAAATGCAAATGTCATCTCGCTTCGCCTAATACTTTCTCTTACCTATAGAATGATGGAGTCATAAAAAGAACGGTGTGATTCTGCGTTTGAGTATTTCTTCCCAACCTAGAATATAGTTTTGAATTCACAATATTAACTTTTTATTTGCTGCCTACTTGAATTTTTATGGTAGAGTATTATGTGAAGTATAACCACGATGGTGCTGAAATATTCGCAAAACTCCGGACCACAGGTGTCAACGGTGGGGAATGAACGCGCTATTACCCTTTCCAGGGGTTAACGCGTTCACCACCACACCACACGGGTCTTTCCCTTCGCTCGTCTGTATCGATCAGTGCCATCAGCAACCACCCATCAACGGAATTGATAGAACTAGGTAAGAGACAAGAGAAACGAAGGACACGCATGTTGTGGTGGTGAACGCGCTATGCTATCTCCCGGAAAGATAGCGCGTTCGCTTCCCACCGCAGAAACATGCGGTCTGGAGTTTTGCAAATATCTCAGCACCATTGTAGTTTTGCATTCACTGAGTAGAAACAGAAATTAATATTCCAGACCTCTATAAGCTGTTCCATTTCAGTGGTGTCGAGTTTTTAAATAAATAATTGAACAACAATGGCTGATGTTCAATGTTTCATTCGCAGTCTAAAGAGCTTGCAGACATTGTTGACCTTGAATGAAACACATCGCTGTGCAGCTTCCACCATCGGCATAAGAACCATGGATGCTGACTACAGAGATTATTCACGTACTTCTATAATTTAACTGGACTCTAGTAAAGGATAGAACGTATGCTATTGATCAACCTTGAGGGACGTAGCATCGCAAAGATAACAAAATATTTCATATTGATAGACTTTGTGGAAGCGGAGGTGTGTGTACCACTGTACGAAATCAGTGTTCTTCGCTCCTTTACACGGACAATCATCCCCATTGTGGAGATGTCGGATCACTGCTTAGTTGAACAGTGATGGACATTTCTCGACTAGTTCACTATTTTTAGAGGCGCGTGTGGGGCAGTGGTCGGAGGTGCCCTGCGACACACGCGGAATCGATCCCTGCGCCCATGGCACACCAGGCCCTCCATCCCTCCGGGGTCAGCAGATTGGTACCAGACCTTTCTGGGAGGATAGCAGCACTACCCCGATACATCGGTAGGCCACCACGAGTCATTGTAAAAGCCGGATATGCATTTAATCCAAACGATGCTTAATGAAGTCGATTGTATGGCACATCCCTCAGGGATTGATCAACGCCAAGAGCGTTAGCTTTTTATCACTATTTTTGATAGAAGAAGATCCTGACATAAAAATAACAACATATAACTGCTTTCCTTTTACGTGTAGGTTTTTATAAAAAGAGACAGACAAATTTTGTACACACAATTTGACACGTAAGAACTGACGAACATTCAAATCTTTCTTTTTCTTTGTCAACCTCGTGTTACCTTAATAATTGAGGAAGGTACTCCATTGTCAGTTTATACTTGAAGTGTAGTAAAGCAGAGGATATCTGACTGACTGGCAGAGCTGACTTTCATATCATCACCACTTTCCCGCAAAATCTGTTGCAATTTTGACTATTCTTAAACTTGAAATTTCACCTAATATGTTCACCAAACAATAATGAAAAAAAGAGAAAAATATTCCCTTCCACTGATCGCATACCGCTGATCCAGAAATGCTGGCAAGTGGTTGTGAGAGCGCCCCAGTCTAGCTTCCTAAGAAAATTGATGCCGACCAGATTTCAGTCATATTCATGAAAAAGATATTGAGGAAAGAAGTCCCCTATTCTCAATTAAGAGACGAATAGCGCAATTCTATGATGGGTGGCGGTTCCATGATAACGAAATCAACAAAAATACTTCGAGACCCGTACAGCAGCTGTTGACGGATCATCTGAGCATTCATATATATGGTCTATCGGAAGTAATTTCCAACTTGTAATTTTATTTTCTTGTATATGTTTTACTAATAGTTTTCTTTCGAATGCTATGCTATCAAATATTATTGAAAAGCACATTCTGTGAACTTTCACTCTTACGATATAAACAGTGCTGTAACTTTTCTTTACTGCCTATTATTTTTTAATGCCAGGGTACGATGTGAACTACAGCATAAGAATGTGGAGTTATTAGCAAAGCTTGGGAGCAAAGCCTGGGCTTCGAGCCAGCGCTTACTCTTACCGGGTGGGTTCATGTAATAACCACCATAAGGGAGGCCCATACTTTGCCTTTGTCAAGTTTGAAGGCCAGACTTATAGATTTCAATCCTGGACATATGCAGCGCAAATGTCTCGAAGCATTAAGATGGGGTATGGAACCGAGGAACTGTTAACGAACGCACAGTGTAATTTTGGTTTCAAAAATTTCGTCGCTGCGAATATGACCTTGGAGATGGAGGAGCTCGAGCACATGCTTTGTACGCGGTAAACAGAAGACTTTCCTTTAAGCAGCTATTTGCAAATCTGTGGAACATTCAAAGAGCATTAGAAGGTTGAAAAAGCTCTAATAATGGGTGCCCAATGAATTGAACAGCAATTAAAGAAGTCACTGCTTTGAAGTACAGTCGGCACTTCTTCTGCAAGGAGTGAACGACGCATTTCTTCACCAAGTTGTGACCCGCGGTGAGAAGTGCACCATCTATGCCATTCTAGGTCTTACACAGCTTCCTGAATCGGGGTGGATACGATTATTCAGGAAAAGTGCGTGCAACACCAGACTCTTCAGCGAGTGCGCCCCACGTTGAGCAAGCAGAACTAAGAACTCTGCCTCATTTGCCATACTCGCGAGACCTCTCGCCTATCGACTGTCACTTCTTCAAGCATCTCTATCAATTCCTGCGGAAGAATTGTTTCAGAAACGAAGCCGAGGGCGTGGCTCTCTTTAACATCACATCAACTTCAGATATTAAAATTTTATGCAGCCAACATAAGAAAAATTATTTCTCGTTGAAAAAATTTTGTAGGGCCTAATGGCTTTTTTCAATTATTAGAGTTTATTTTGAGCTGAGATGTGACACTTTGAAAGTACATGATGAAATATCAGACGCTAATTTCCAGAGAACCTAACAAGTAAGTATTATGAAAAACATTTTACTCCTCGATTTCAAATTTTTGTCTTTTATTTTGCTTATTTGTGAAAAAGTACAGCGGTGAAGATGGATCATAAGTTAACGAAATGCTCTATCACATGAGTTCCTGCACAAAGTGGGAAAGCACTTGTGAGCATACTCAATCTGAATGATAGGGCACAGGAAGCCATCCGCGTGTAGTCGCTAACAAATGTCATCAGGACCGGAAGAAATGCCTAAATTTAGAAGTTCTGTGGTGAAAACTTGCAATTAATATATATATATATATAATATAACAATATAATATAATATATATAATAAAATAATAATATAATATACTATATATAATATATATAATATAATATATATAATGTAATATATATAATATAATATATATAATATATATAATATAATATAATATATATTATATAATATTAATATAATAATATAATAATATATTATATATATAATATAATATATATAATAAAATAATAATATAATATATTATATATAATATATGTAATATATATAATATTATATATAATATATATAATATTACACATAATATATATAATATAATATATATATTGATTGCAGGTTTTCACCACAGAACTTCTAAATTTAGGCATTTCTTCCGGTCCTGATGACATTTGCTAGCGACAACACGCGGATGGCTTCCTGTGCTCTATAAAACTAAATTCAGGATCCAATAAAGTAAACCGAGAAGTTCCAGCACAATTTGGTCATACTGTTGATCATTTAAATCCGCTTATCGTACCCGGTGCAGAGTTACGAAATGCCGTGCAATAAGAGCTTAGTGTTTCCTCCGATCCCTCATAGGGCAACCAAGGTTTTAAACCCTCTGTCATCCACAAACTAGTGGGAAATTTTTTAGAGAAGATCCACACAGGACCGGAATGCCTTTGATCTAGACTAGCGTGACTCTCATAAAAATTATTCGAGAAATCCAAAAAGAATTAACTCGATCAAAATTCAAAGACATCCATTAGGAAAACAAAGTCTTCAAGTACCAATTTCAAAAACCTTCGTGGATGGCGGACGTTAAAAAGCAGCGTCATGTAAGTAGCTAGTTAAATGTTGGGTGAGGTAAATACTTCCAAAGACGAAGTAATCTTTGGAACGTACTATAATACATGCCAAGTTGGCGTCACTAACATACTTATTCAGAAGTTCGTTGACTGACTTACTCACGAGTTTGGCAGTGGGCATAGGTTTTTCTGGAAAAGTAACGACTTAAGTCGGTCATTTGTGGGTGAAAAAATATATGCCGTATTGAATACTCATAACCTACCCCCTCCCCCCCCACATCAAATCATGACGACATCGAACTGAGGGTGCTCTACGGTGGTATGGCCTTCGAAAAGAACTGCTACACAGAACATCTCACCTATTTATGATATTTATTCCACTAACGTTTCGATGTCTCAACTTCAGCATAACAGATGCTCTGAGTCGCTGTATAGAGAACATTCTTCACGAACATTGGAATGTTCTGTATGTAAAGCATTTCAAATACTGTTTCCGGTGACCTAATTCCCGTGTCGGTCTAATAACCTTATGTCAAACATTTCGAATACTTTCTACTTCTGTTCAGCAAACGCGAAGTGTTATTTTATTCGTCATTCACGAACAAGCTGACGTTTCGGCTGATTTCGTCTTTCTCAAAGCCTGGAAAGGTCAGATCGACTGCAATCTACACGGCCAAACATCTCCATAACCAAACAGAGAAAATGATCGACCAAAATTTCAATCACATTGAACACAGAGTCTTTGCACACTCACCGCTTTTTGTGTGTCTTCCACTAAACATTTCACGTGGAGACCGACCGTACGGAGCTTACAAGGAATCGTATTAATAGAAAGAATGGCTAATGGAAGGTTAATAGAAAGTCGGACGTGGAAGTTGTTCCGAATACTGTTTCCGGTGACCTTTTTCCTATGACGATCCGATAGCCGTATGTCTAACATTTCGTTGGCGATTATCTCATGAAAAATATCTGCAGTCACAGTCCTATGCTTTGGCTATCGCCTTCTCAGATTGCAGTGCTTGAGAAATGTTTCCAGCACCCGTCTTTCCGCATACTGTAGCCTGACCCCGCTCAGCCCAAAAGGTATATAAACGGCTCCACGGTTAGCTAGCTCAGGTCACAGCAATGCTACCCAAGTCACCATGTCCTTTTCTCACATATCTCTCACGTAGTAGAAGTCACGTGACAACCTCTTCACTCATAAGCAACCTGAACACCAGTGATCAGTCTGCGCCTATTCATTACTTGTATCACTGTTGCATTAATTGTAAAGTTGTATTGTTATGCTATAATTGCTGTATAATTATGATAAACGGTTTAATTACCCAAGCTTGAGGTGTCCGGCATTGTGCTTGCTAATCACAAAAAGTCCTGCGTGGCACAGTTAAAGACGAGAAGCTTATTCCATCCGAATCTTCGTAACTACTTGGTTTTGTTATATCAACGAGCCGTCCCCAAACGCTGGTCCACAGTCGTACGTCTTCTCGATGTGGCATCTTCGTCTTTATATCGAGTTTGACCTACTTCAGTGAATGATCTTGAGTGAAGCAAACTCACCTGAGATGCTCTTTTACACAGGGCGATTGGTGTTGATATGACTATCAGTTGATGATAATTTTTTTCAACTGATAATCCACCCTGCAGCAGTCGTTAATTTGTTAGATAGTAGATGGCGACTGGCAAAAACTTTATCTGCAGTTCTAGGGGAATAAAACAAATAGAATGAAAGCCTCTTTCAGTTCCTTAGAGCAGCCATGATCAGCCATGGAAACTTGCAAATCCGGAATTCATGTGCTCAGCGTTTAACGTGGAAATCACAATTCATATAGCTAAAACGCTAAAACTAAGCTAAGAGCTAAAAGCTAAGCTAAAACGTAACTGACCAAGTTATAGTAAACAGAAGGTTTTGCCTCGTTCTTATGCCTGTCGTTCCACAATCCAAAAAAAGATACGACCACAGCGTTCTCAGTGAAATATAGCTTTTTTAAAATGCTATGAAAACCTTACGATCAGAAAGAACAATCCCAAAACGATGTTTTTCTTCAATAAGCAGACACGACGTTGTTATTATAGGATTTATTAGGATACAATAGCTGACGTTTCGGCGGTTTCGCCTTCTTCAGAGCCTGGAAAGGTCAAATTGAGATGCGATCTACCCAGCCAAACACTTTCATAGCCCTAGCAGATAAAACCTAACAAATAAATTTGTATTCGCATAAGAAACAGCTTCATTTAAACACCTACCGTTTATTTGTTGTAACTATTTAAGTTAGTTGATGGATAGCAGCCACACAGAGTAATACATGGGCGATAACTGTGTCTGAGTCAGGTCATTGGATTAGCCCGAGGTATGGCGCTAGCTCACGCGTGACGACAAGACATTCCTCTTTACGGTTCATTTTTGAATCTTTGGAATTGATCCAAAGCACTTCAAGGGCTTTACGCGCTGGTGTTTTCGATTCCTGGCTGAGGATAGTGACTCCTACTTCGAAATCTTCTTCGTTGTGTTCCTGCATACTTTGCGCGCCTAGTGGAGTGTTTGATTTTAATTTAGATCTACCGGCTAGGTGTTCATTTATGCGGACGCAGAACGGTCTACCCGTTTCGCAAACGTATTCGTCCCCGCACGCTTTACAAGAAATCAGATAGATTGTGCCCGAACTCATGCAATCACCGTCTCTACCGTTAGGGCAAATTATGCAGCTTTTCGCTATACATAGGCGGTCATATAGGCGGTTGCAAACTAGCTGGCGTCGTAGAGTGTCCGATGGTATTTCTATCGCTCTTACGGAATTTTTTAGATCGGCCCTTATTAAGCAACGTTTTATAGCTGCACTTATCTCGTTTGAAATAAAAGGCAAGAGGAACGGAGCCTTGTTTTCCCTCGAACTATCGCTCTGGGGCGTGTGTTTTCCTCTATGCCTATGCCGGGAAGCTACAGTTTCGTAACCATTTGAAATGGCTATTTGGCGTGCCAGTTTCGAGGATTCTTCCCTCTGATTTTCTTGGTATTTTTGTTGAGCAAACGCGAGGTGTTACTATTCTTTGTTCACGATTAAGCTGACGATAGTACTTCCGACATTATACTTCCACGTGATTTCTGTGCGGTTGGTCTCTACGTGACATACTTAGTGGGAACCTCATAGAAAGCGGTTCTGAAGAAGGCGAAATCCGCCGAAACATCAGCTTAATCGTGAACAAAGAATAGTAACTCCTCGCGTTTGTTCAACAAAAATACCAAGAAAATCACTTGATCAATGCCGAGGTTAATAGGAAGTCGGTCGTGGCAGTTTCTTCCCTCTGATCTCTACCTGTGCACACGCTGGCAGCAGTTCGAAACATATTTCTTATAAGCGCCCTTTTAGTGTGTTAGTGATGAGAGGAGAACTAATGAACCACTATATTCTTACTGCTTGGCTTTCGATACCATTTTGTGTTGTAGCTGTTTTCGGATAGGTTGATCTGAAAGTTTAGAAATGGAAGCCAGTTTTCTTTCGGTTTCTCACGGGTGAATTTCATGTACTCTGACTGTTCGTTCAATAACTCAAAGCATTTGTCCATCTCCTCTTGTGCGGAGCAGATGACAAAACAATCATCTATATACCTCCAGTAGAGTAACGGCCTGAGATCGATTACTGGTGCTTCCACTTTAGACGTAAAGGCAACGGCAAGGGTTGGTGCCAGTCGCTGCCCCATTGCCAACCCTCTAATTTGTGCTTAATATTTCCCGGACTATCTAAAGATCGAGCAGTTTAAACAGACCTTTAGGAGGACCATAAGCTGCTGGATCGAAAAGCCATACATGTTAAATGCTCCTTCATGTTGCCCAGGAAGCTCTCGGATGGCTTGCATTACGGAATCGTTCGACACATTATTGTAAAGGGCGGTAACGTCGAATGTATTACTCTGTGTGGCTGCTATCCATCAACTAACTTAAATAGTTACAACAAATAAACGGTAGGTGTTTAAATGAAGCTGTTTCTTATGCGAATACAAATTTATTTGTTAGGTTTTATCTGCTAGGATTATAAAAGTGTTTGGCTGGGTAGATCGCATCTCAATTTGACCTTTCCAGGCTCTGAAGAAGGCGAAACCGCCGAAACGTCAGCTATTGTATCCTAATAAATCCTATAATAACAACCTCGTGTCTGCTTCTTATTGAAGAAACATCGAATTATCAATCAATGCCGAGGTTAAAAGAAAGTCGGTCGTGGGAATCCCAAAACGATCTTAAACTTTTTATTTACTGCCTATTCTTTTTAACAGCAGGGTATGTTGCGAAATATAACTTCTACAATGCTGAGATATTTGCAAAACTCCGGACCGCAGGTGTTTTCAGTGGGGAACGAACGCGCTATTGTCCTTTCCGACGAGTAACGCCCGATCAATCCCTTTCACGGGTGATTGCTGATGGCAAAAGTCGATAGAACTAACTGAGAGACAGGCGAAACGAAGGACCCGCATGGTTTGGTGGTGAACGCGTTACTACCCGGAAAGGACAATAGCGCGTTCGTTCCCCACAGCAGACATCTGCGGTCCAGAGTTTTGGAAATATCTCAGCATTGTAGAAATCCCAAAACAATCAAAAAGTTGAACATTCCAACATATTCAACTTGTTTTAGAAAGATTTCATTACTATGACGTGCACTTGCACATCAAAAACCTTTACCACAGTGTTGAGGAAGACAAGCGTTTTGAGGCTGCGTAGTCTATTTATGGAAACTCGAGCTGAACCGCCATTGTGGAGCTGTGCTATCTGCACATTATTTGCCACGTAGATCCGATTTGAAGACAATGCACTGTAAATAAACGGTAAAAGATCATAGGGCAAGAAGCAGTATTGATTTGAATTGTAGATGTTGCTTGAAATAGTACAGAAAACACCCGAGGAGTCTTTGACTTTTCGAAAATCACAAAGGCTGCATTCCGACATCGTGACAAAGTTGTTCATTGTTTCCATGGTGACGGTGAGAAGCACTGATGATGACCAACCATGACTTTTTTCCCACAACTCGATAGCTCCAACAATGTCTTCATCATCTCGGGGTTAGTAGATTTGCCTTCGCCGCTATTCTCACTCGCAAACTCTGATAGGCCCATTTCAGTGCTAAGGAACCACGTAGAATTCGGTTTTAATAGGGCTAGTAGGAAACATGAAGAACATGTAGCCAACCGTAATGCAACGTTTCCATTTAATGGGAAGCCAGGTGAATCGAACCTCTGCACAACAAAGAGGACAAAACAAGGCTAGGCAGCGCTTTGAAAATGCTTCAAAACGATGGATTGCAGATATGAAACATATTTAGTTGTCATAAGTGTGCAAGACGCCGACATTTCTCTTCTTCACTGTTTTGAGGAAAATCAACGATCCTCTCAGGACTGATCGACCGTGAAGATCTGGGATAATGAGAGATCCTATACCGACTATCCAGAAGTCTTCCACGAGTCAGTGGCGAGGCAACTGGAATTTCATTACTCCGCAATGCTAAAATCATAATGTGCACGGTAGCATGCAACTAGGCAAGGCATAATCGTTAAAATTTTCCAGAGTCATTCGAGCAAAAAACCAAAGCCTTACCAAAGTATCATCAAAATTGGTGAGGATAAACTGAGCGGGATTAGAGTTCTACAGCCAGCAGCTACACGGTCTTATACGAATAGAGCATTGCCCCTAGCATAAACGATATGCAAAGCCAAGCGAACCTTTGTCGGTTTCATCAGTGAGTTCAGAAAAGTCGGTGTTAAGCTAAGCCTAACGGAAACAAGTTATTCAAAAAAAAGGAAAGTTATGCTATGCGTGAACTGTGAAACGTGAGCATTTAGTCTGACATGAGATTGAATCAGAAATGCTCAAACTAGCGAGAACTTTTGCTGCAAACTATGAAAGATAAGATAGCCTTTAAAATAGCAAGTTTTTATACTATATCTTTCATGTAGTTGTAAACACTTGGATATATATGTAACGGATGGCCCGGTCGGTTTATACATGCTGTGTGGATCTCATGTGTCATCAGTACAGTGGTGCGGTTCGTATGGAGGTTTAGCTGCGTCTTCGTCTTTCTGATTTATGAATTCCTTTCCTTGACATGTTGAATGGGATCGTGCGCGATTTCTGCGGAATTTCGAGGTAGTCGTTACCAGGGCCTTCTGCGGTATTCAGCACTATGGCCAGCCACTCATCGCCCTTCGTGGATTGCCTGGGCATTTGCTACTTTTCTTGAATTGGATTGTGGCCAGGTTTCTTGTGTGCCGACCAACGAACTTCGCTATTAACCGATCGATTTTAATCGAGGACAATGTGAAAGGCCAAATCTAAGATTTAAATGATATGTTGTTGAACCTTAGAAAAATTTCTCTACGTTTCTTGTTATTTCGAAGCACAGAAATGAATAAAGAATGCAGGCGTAGTTTTCTGGTTCGCATATCCTCGTTGGGCGCGCTTAGCGCAGTGATTAGAGGTGCGCTGCTAAACATGTGGGATCGATCCTGCAATCAAGGTTCACCAAGCCCTCCATCCTGCCGCGATCGGGTCAATTGGTACCAGATTTGTCTTGGAGAATAGCAACACCGACTCGCTACGTAGGTATGCCACCGCGAGTCATTGCATAGGTCTGGTGTGCATTCCGTTACCTGTAACGATGCTTAATGAAGTCGAATCCATGGCATATTCCTTAAGCATTGATCAGTGTGGAGAACTCTATCCTTTTAAAACCTTTGTATCCTCGTGTCTCAAGTTTGGTGTCATATATTCAAATAGAGCGGGGTGCTTTCTTCTTCTTTGTCCTTTCCTAAAATCTCTTTTTGTAGCTTAAAATGTTTTCCTTTATCCAGCATGAAGTCTTTTTTGTTGTTCTTTTGTGCCTACATACAATTTTGGTTAAGAATAAAGCTCCAATATTGTTTTTTCTAGAAGTATTTTAATTCCCACAGATTTAAAACGCTATTCATGAAATGTTTTCAACATCCATGTTGAAGTCATCACCCGGCCTTAAAATCTCTGTGTGGAAGCAAACCGCGCAGCTATAGCAGCACCTTGTTGTTGGCGATGCCAGCGATTGAGAGTGCGATGAGATGCATCGAAGGTGACAAGAATAAAATTATAGGCATACGGACCATTCTGGTGACGATCCTGCTTTTTACGTGACTCAGCAAGGCAAGATGAAGCTTTGCTCCTACATCGTACACCAACTAACGACGAAGCTACGACATTGCTGCGATTAGGACAAAATCTCAGGACTCCCATCACGTAGTTTAAAGAAAAATGGAAAAAAATTGTTTTATATTCAGTATTTTTCCCACAACATAATTCTTTTCGATTTTCTTGATTTTGTTGGGAAAATCTTAAACCTCAATGTATCCATCTTAATAGGCATGTCGTCTTTCGCCGTTCTTGAGAAAAGTGGATTCGCCGCTGGCTGAGACGCAGACGTCTCGCGTATAATAATTCTCTCCTTGGATGATTGCGGAGAAGAACAGGCCTACAGGGGAAGCTACGGACGACGCAAGTTCTCATAATTCAACCCACCGCGCTCCTACACCACCAGAAAGCTCCTCCCTTCTTAGTAGGCGCTCACAAGTGTCTCTACATCCGAATTCATGCACTTCATCCTCTGCGCTAAACGTCATCTAGAACGGCGTGCTACTTAATAGATGATCGAGCTACTGTAATGATGTATTGTTGGTACATAGAATATATCACAATGAAGCTGATGTTTCTTACAGGTTCAAAGCCTATTCGGGTGAAATCTTATCCGAACTAGTTCACATATTCTTCGATCTGTGGATTCTGTTCGATTGTTCATTGCTACCGTAATACCAATAGGAACGTTCTAATTCATTTGGTTGTAACTAAGATTTATTGAGTTCGTCCATCAAAAGCCACTTCCTAGTGGCGGGACTGGCTCATAGAACATTAAAACAACCTCAAGAAATCGTTGCAAGCTCTGATCTTCTCACATTCTTTACTAGTCGCAAATCACTAACAGACAATTTATAGTTTTCTTTGGTGATGCTGCATTTTCTTGATGGTATTCTAGGAAACTGTTAGCGCTTTTTTACATTTGCTGAGTTCTCTGTGTTTCCATGTGCTTTTTGCTGTCGTTATCGGTTGTCAGTAGAATCTGATGGATTCAGAAGCGATGTTTACTTAACAACACCTTAACGCCTTTTAAGTGGTCATGCCGACCTACTCTAAGATCCGCTATCGTAAATTTTGTTTGCGTTGCGAAATTTCTCTTCTTGACCTATGCTGTCAATCTCATCTCATTTCACTTCTCTCAAAGAAAAAAGATTCCATCAGTAGATCAGAAGTCGCATACCGTTTGTGAGTTTTTCGTTCTTGTTTGCCTTTTGTCTTTAGAGTTCTATCCTCTAACTCGCACTAATATTCTTCTACTAGAACTGACAAATTCTACTAATTAAACTGAAAAGCGAAATCAAATATCCATTTCAAAGATTGCACTCCGAACCGTTTGTCATCAACACTAACTCGGTTAATCAAAATGTGACTCGTTCGGACACAATTTATCCTCGTCGCGCGATGTGGTTGATGGATGTGGCCTCTTCACACTACAGCAATAAAAAAAAGCCATACTTTTCTTATGGTGTCCTTATTATCACTTTATACGCATATGCTTTGGCAAAAGAGCATTTTTAGTCTCGTCGCAAGCAGTCGAGGGAGTTTGGTACTCTCACGAGCTGCTTGCTAAGTTTCTCTTGTCTAGATGTGTGTAAATCCGTATAAGGTTAAGAATCGCTGTCGCTATTTAGAATACAGTTTACTTATAAGCAAATCCCTCTCTAATAAAAATGCTTATAAAATTATATATATATCTGGCATACAGAGGATATAAAGAGAATATGAATGAGAAGAAGCAAGGACTTCATGCCATGAAACCATCCACCATCCACTATGCAGGAATGAGAGTACAAGGTCACTGTTGACTCTGGCTTGTCCGTGCTGTTTGGGACTAGGGTACACGCCACGTTGCCAAATAACTCGAATATTTCTAACGTTGACAAGGATTTATGATGGAACTTTGAATAAGAGGGAACATATCCATCTCTGTGAGGGCTCATCGACTATTGAAATGAAATGCCTATAAGACTCAGCCAATCTTCCTTATCAGCTTTTTAACATTTTCAAATATCTTTTGACAGCGGATGAACTTATGAAGTTGTTGAAACCCAACTCTACGTTGTAGATAAAAATGCAGTAATAAAAACTCCAAATAAAAACGCTACACATCTAGTCAAAGGGATTTGCACCACTCTATCTTGTCATTGGTAATATTACTATATCGTAATAATATCCGTTATTCAAAATCGCCAACCGATTTTCTCCCGAGGACGAGATATCTGCTCAGCTTTTTTTCAGATGGTTCACACGGAGGTCATGTTCGTTTTTCTGCTTGGTATTTTCGCCACCGTAAACTCTCAACGGGACACCTGCTATATCAACGACAGTGGTAAGTGCCAGTGACTGAACTCACGAAACAGAATGATCCAACGATCAGCAATCATTTGGGTAACACAAAAAGTGCATTTTCATCACATCAGACCAAGGAGTCAGCGTTCCATTCGAGAAAAAATTAGTGTGGTAAGATTCTCTAGAATATTCGAAAAAAAGGCGTAGGTTGACAACCACAACCTCAATTTGCTTTCTATTCCAAGTCTTTTTTTAGAACGTACATTTAGATTCCCTTTCCCGTACATTCCCTAGGTTTTTTGCGCTCACCCTTCCTAATAGTGCTATTGGGGAGCACGCATGGTCGGTACTCGATCCTGAACCCAAGTCTTGCCAAACCTCCCCACGAAAGGTTGGAAGTCGCCAGATTGTTACTATACTTGTTTGTTAGGACAAAATCAGTAACTCGATACATCGATGAACCACCACGATTCATTATGTAGATGCAATATGCGTTCGTTCACCTCTACGAATCTAGAAATGAAGATGAATGTATGGCGCATCTCTTAGGAATTTATCAACGCAGAGCGCTTTGTATTTTCTTAATTCTGTTGCTTCCAACTTAGTTGATATGTTGACTAACTCGGTTACCCGCACTTTTATTGTCGGCTGATTTCGTAAGATCAATTCCTGTTAACCTTTGTTTCTGTTGGAAGTCGAGTTTGCTATGAACGTCGTTAATTTTTGCAGCGACTACTATCACTTAATGTCTGGAATTTAATGGAAATGCATCTATAGTCGAGTTAGAGGTAGTGATGACTAGTGTCGCCGATGGAAAGCATTGAGCCAGATTCGCGTGAAGAGATGGAAAAACTCAGTTCAGTAATTTGCTCCTCTGCATTGCGCAACCGCAGGGGAAGGCGAAAAAGCCTAAACTGTTTCTGAATGAAGAGCTACCTTCATCTATGATTCTCGCAAGGAGTTCGCTAACAAAAAAAACTACTGTTTCGAGGTAACTAGTGAGTTTTTAGGTTTCACTTGTTGTAATAAGCAACTGGAAGCAGCAATGAAAGGAGCAATGGGCGGAAAGGTACAGTATGCTAGTTGTATAATTATCTGTTCGAAAATTATATCGAGAAATGACTTTTTTTTAAGCACAAATCGTTTTAGATAAAACAATAAAGTATTGTAATTTTTAATGTTTGCTTTTTTATTTTTATAAAACAAAAAAGTAAACACTGCAATTTCAACTACAGCCTCAGCTTAACTGGGTTCAATGCCGATGTGGGCTCCCCAAATCAATCCCGTTGACGGGTGATTGGTAGCGGCACTGATCGATAGAGCTAACTGAGAGACAGACGAAACTAGAGACCTACATGGTGTGGTGGTGAACGCGTTAGTCCCCGGAAAGGGTAATAGCGCGTTCGCTCCCCACCGCAGACAACTGCGGTCCGGAGTTTTGCAAATATCTCAGCATCATTGATGTTATTATAAATCTTTTGCAAAATTCACTTATTCGAGTAGAAGGGAAGCAAAGAATTTAGCAGTTTGTTTCCTTCAGTACAATTGAGTAGTTCTTTATTTATACTATGCTCACTAAGAGAAAACTCTACTGTGGATAACTTTTCAGCTTCACGAGATCTATCGTAAAAATACAGATCTTCACGAGATTTCTGACGGTTTTCAAGATAAATTTAAGACATGGTACATCCTCAATAAGAATGTGATAAAAAGATAAAATATGAAAAGCAGGAATAAAATGACTATACAGACATGAAAGACTAAAGATTTTCCACAGGATCTCTTATCTGCTGCCGATGAAATTCAAAAGATGGCCGAATCGACACTTGGTGGGAAGTTTGAAACAGTGGTCGCACTTGACGATTTTGCCTACAAATCCCATTTCAAGGTTAGAACGGCTTCCTTTTACTGTTCCGGTGTATTACTTCTTTTTAAGTCACAATTTTTGATAAGTCTAGCCATTTGAACATTTTGCTGGACAACTATTGGTAAGAAATGCGAGTTGTGCGGCAAGAATGGTTAGGCGTTTTTGCACTGAATTCTTGAGATAGCAGTGAATGAGTCGCCAGTAAGACTTCGCAATTCGATGTTGTCGGTTTTTGTGGATCAGAGAGAGATGTGGCAAGCTACAGGCGGCAACCAAAGTTCTGTGTATTCATGGACTTGGTTTACTCTTAGTTAAGCAGAATTTGACTCTTTCTCATGCTCTCCTTAGTAGGTTGTCCTTAGGAGGGAAAGGACCCTTGAAGTAAATTCCATTTAGATATCCGAAGAATATTTCGCCCTCTTTTCGGTAGAGGGACGAGAGATGATGTAGAGGATAGATGGAAATTCTTCTAAATCTGCTAGCAAATGAGGTTAGAAGCTCTTTCTCACAAGGGCGTCAGTAGGAGTCGCAAGTAATGCTCATGTAATCAGTAATGCTTAAATAATAATGATATCATGAAAATGATGAAAATAAAGAGAGTACTTTAAAAGGAAAGGTGCTCCTTCATACACGGAAACCATTGAAGAATGTTCGAAAAATAAGTGAAGGCTTTTTAGCAATGGTGAGTTTAAGAAATGAACTATGGCATGAATAGGTAAAAGAAAGAATAAAGGAAGACGATTTTATAAGAAAATACAATATTTTCAAAGGGGCCACCTCAAAAGATGGAAAAATGCAGATTACAACATCATTTTTACTGAATGTGAGAAAAAAATAAAAGTCGAGCGATGAGCAAAGGTGATTCTCCTGATTTAAGACCAGTATAGGTGCTTAGTAGGGTGCGCGTGGCGCAATGGTCGGAGGCACCCTGCAACACACACGCAGAATTGATCCCCGCGCTCATGGCCCACCAAACTTTCTATCCTTCCGTTGTCGGCAAGTTGTTATCAAAGTTGTCTAGGAGGATAACTACTCTGGCTCGATACATCGGCAAACCAACGCGAGTCCATTGTAAAGGCCAGATATGCATTCAATCACCTCCAACGATACTTGATGAAGTCGAATACATGGCGCATCCCCCAGAAATTGATCAACGCCGAGAATTTATCCTTTATCCTTTTATAGGTGTCTAAGCATTTTTTACTGCAGAAAGAAACCAAACTTAGTTTAGTTCTCATAATAGCTTCTTTTGCATTTGTTACATGAATGGTTCACACTTAGTTGGCCGCCATTAATTTCTATGTGATTTGTATCCTCTTAGTTGAAATGATTAATTTTTTTTGAGATAGATGTGCCAGACCAATCCCAAATTTTTATTAGAAGCCTTCGGTGACCTTTATAGAAGGAGAGTTCGACGCTTTATGGATGGATTTATTCTTTAATAAAGATAGTTTCCTTTCATTCACAGTTTTACTAGACTTAGGTGGGGCTACTTCTGGTTAAGTGAGCTGATCTACTATGGATTAAGGGGTCTGTGAAGACTTTTCACTATTTTCTTGGGTGATTTATTCCTAAGATCAACCAGGCGCTATACAGCGCCTTCCTCTGTATGCTATAAACTATTCAGAACTGCTTCTGAAATTAGCTTTCTGAGAAATTTTTTTAAAAAAGTCAGTTTTCTTTTGAACAATTTTTCTTCGATAGACGCATATAGCCGATAAGTGATGATATCATAATAAATTGAGAAGTCGGAACGGAATTCAACTTTTCAGATCCCGGGATCCAAAGTAAGATGGGCAAAGATTGGGTTAAGATTTGAATTAAAAACTATTGGTCATTGTCTTGCTTAAATGTTCTCATCGGCGACTTATAAATCATAATAGAAAAAATTGAAGAGATCGTTTAAAGGAGGTATTAATAGATTTAAAGCACGTGTGGCGCAGTGGTTGGAGGCGCCACTGCGACACGCACGTGGAAGCGATCCATGTGCCCGTGGCCCACCAAGCCTTCCATCACTCCGGGGTCGTAAAATCGGGACCAAAGTTGTCTGGGTGGATAGCAGCACCGGGTCGATACATCGGTAGGTCATCGCGAGTTACTGTAGAGGTGAGATATGCATTCAATCTCCTCCAACGATACTTGATGAAGTCGAATGCATGGCGCATCCTTCAGGGATTGATCAACGCCGAGAGCTTTATCCTTTATCCTTTATTAAACAACTTATCTGGTTAACTAATAGCTATCGAATAGGCCTAAAGAAGGAAAATTTCCATTCGTTTTCGACAAACCCGTAGAGGACTAGCAAAAGTGAAGAAGATTCGCTAAGAAGCCGTTCAGATTCATGATGTGCAACTGGTGTTAGATGAGCTCTCAAGGTGAAGAACGGCTTTGATTATTACCTGAGTTTCATAAGAGACTTGTAAGACATCTACTGTAATGTGTCCTAATGTTCAAGGTCTTCTCTAGTCGTTGTTGGACTTCTTTCAGAGTTTTTAGGCTCATAATCGTAGAAAACACCTTCGATATACCGGTAAAAGCAATCATTGAACCAGATATTCTCCTTATTCGTTCGTCATTCTCAACTTCATCCATCTCGTTTGCGTCAAGGTCGTTTCATTGTCGTCGGAGTGTGCTTGTCTTCATAGAAAACTGGAAATCACGACAATGCTTGGCGCAAAAATCCACAATATATCCGAAATTATTTCATTCAGAAATAGTTGAGAGGATTTTTTTCTGTTGGTGAATACGTTTGGACCGGAAGGATGGAGGATTTGAAGCTTGCTTTATCTTAAGCTAAGTCTCCTAGTGATAACATGTTATTTTTTTCTCGGCTTGAACTGCCAAGATGATGGGAAATGAACTTCGGAATGTGCGACTCTTAAGAACATTTCTCTAACACGTTGGTGTGACCAAATGGCAAAGTTATAAAGGATAAAGGATAAAACTCCTGGCGTTGATCAATCCCTGAGGGATGCTCCATGCATTCGACTTCATTATGTATCGTTGGAGGTGATCGAATGCATGTCTGGCCTTTACAATGATTCGCAGTGGCCTACCGATGTGTCGAGCCATTGTTGCTATTCCCCAAATAAGTCTGGTACCATTTTGCCGAACTCGGAGGGATGGAAGGCTTGGCGGGTCATGGGCGCAGGATCGATTCCACGTGTGTGTCGCAGTGGCGCCTCCAACCACTGCACCACACGCGCCCATTTGACCGAGTGATATAAAATAAAACGATTTATGAGAACACTGACAATCAACGCTGAGTCAGTGGCTTTTAATACCCGAAAATTGTCAAGGACTTCATTATAACTTCTCCTTGTCTTTCTTTTTCTCTCCTTTTCAGCCCTCTACACCCTTTCTATTTCCTTTCACTTTCCTTCTTCCCCTTTCTCCTTTTTTTTTTCTCTCGCACTCTCACTCTTATTTACGATTGTTTTTCACTAGTTCTCGTCATAGCTGTAATAATGCTTCCAGCAAATTTCGTTTCTTTTTCGTTCTTCAGCTAGTTCAAAGTGAAGTCCAGCTTAGAATTGAGGTCAGAATAATGTGATCTCAGCTGATGATTGCTTAACCTTTAAACGGGTACGACAAGAGCATAAGAAGCACATATGTGTACATATGTAGTATATGCACGTGCATATATATATATATATATATATATATATATATAATATCTAAATTTACATATGCATGTGTATGTTTATATATAGGTACTTGTGGAAAAATCAATTGAATTGCTAAGTAGTCTTCTGAATGGCTTAGTTGTTTACCTTTAACAACCACCACTGGGTGAAGGAACTCGACTAAGTAGCCCGGCAAAAAATAGCTATTTACTGTCAATGTGAAAAAGGAAATGTTTCTGTTTAAAACATTGTTCAAACCCAGATGTTGAAATGTGACAAGTTGGCAAGCAATGTGTGAACTTGTTTATCAAAAGAAAATTTGGTTGGATTTAAAGCAAAAGTAGTGAAGCTTACGGCAAATAATTATATACTCGGATGGCCCGTCTTCACTATGAAGCCTTCGTGGATCAGAGGAAGATTTGCACCATACGACTAGTTTGATACCAGGACGGTGGTGGATCCTGGTCATGGTTTGTTCTTAGCTAAGCGTGTTGATGGGAACGCCGGACTTCTTCTCAGCTTTGAAGACCCTGCCATGGAGATGAATCCTCCGCTGTACGTCACAACCCGACACCCAGGAACACCTCACAGCCACCGCGAGGTGGTAAACTTTTGCGAGGAATTAATTTAGTTCGGTTTTATTTTCACATTAAAAATTTAATTAATTGTATGAATTTTGGAAATGGCGAAAAAGAAGCAAATATTCGTAAGAGAAAAAAAATTTGAGACCGTGAAAACTGGAAGCGGAAATTAGTGAAGGGGTGACCGAAAATCTCGCAAAGGGTTACTTTCCATTTTTTTCTGAATTATTCTCAGAATCTTTTACGGATGAAAAGGATGGGGTGTAGACATAAATTGAAAACAGCAACCAAAATACTCCAATAGACATGAAAAATTCTAGGTTTTGATTCCCTGAACCGACTTTCTATTAGCTTCGGCTTATCGAATAATTCACTGCTTTCTTGATGAGCAAAAAGGAAGTCGTTATTCTATTCTGTACTGACAAAACAAGCTGACTTTTCGGCGGATTTAGTCCTCTTCAGGGGCTGGGAAAGTCAAATTGACTGCAATCCACCCAGCGAAACCCCTCCATAACCAAAGAGAGAAAACACGAAACCACGACACCAACCGAAATGCACGAATAGAGTGATGTTAGAATCGTGGTTCATCGTTTTTTCTGCTTTGGTTATGGAGGTGGTTGGCTGGGTGGATTTCAGTCAACTTGACTTTCCCATGCTCTGAAGACGGCTAAATCCGACGAAATGTCGGCTTGTTTTTCCAGTAAAGAATAGAGTAACAAGCTCGTCATTGCTTACCAAGAAAAAGTTGGATAGGTTTTAAATTAAATATTTTCGAATTAAGCTGATAAACAGCTACCCTCTTTTTTATCAACCGATTCACCCCATTATTTTCATTTATTGTTGATGAGAATTATAATCATTAAAATGTATTTAGGGGCGAAAATTTTCAATGTATCTGGAAGGTTCATAGAATCTTCTTTTATCGATTGTGGACGAAGGTATTCTTTAGGAAGGAAAAACGTGTAAGATCGAAAAGAACGGTCAGTATGCTCTTGCATGGCAGCCGTGACATACCCGTTGCACTCCTCGTGTCCATGCCACCGTCGTCGCTGTCGCCGCTGCGTTCGCCATCACCGTCGTCGTCATCTGCTTCTACTACTTCGATTCATCGAGGAAACCGACCAGTGTCTTTCTAAAGCTTTTATTGTTCTGTTGTTATCACTCATCAGCGCTTTTTTAGTCTGTTGGTGTCTGATTTTGTATTTTTTCAAACAAATATCCTCACTACGTGCATTCAATTCAGAATTCGTGAACATTTTGGTTAACGTTGTGTCGAACATTATTGTCTTTAATTCTTATAGCAATGTAACAATTTGTTCTGTATATTGATCAAGTGAATGTCAATACTAGGGATAAAGTGAATAGATTGAACGCGTAGCATATGACCGGAATGAGGTCATAGAGAACTGGATAGAAATCGGACTTGTTTGGCTCAGTCACATCCATGAAACCCTTTCATGTTCTGATCATATGACGAAGATGAGCATGATGTGAGAAAACCACGAGTTTATTCATCTACAGTTGAGAAAAATCTCTACTTTAATATTCAACCGCACTCATTTAGTGTAATGGTTAGAGGATCTCTGCAATACACCAATGTTCGGTCCTTGGTTCAATCACGCGCTCCGAAATAACTAAGCTCTTCATCATTTCGGTCTCTCAAAATCGGTATCTGGCTCCAATGGGAAAATTGGAAAACACTGACGTGATATTGATAGAAACCCGGAAAGCAATTGTATTCATAAAATGGACTAAATCACGTATACAATGTTACGAATGCGATCGAATGCATGCCTAATCGTTCAGAGTTTGGTCGACACCGTCTCATTTTAATCTTACGCTTAAATACTTGGATAGTCGTAAGGTTGATCACCAGATACAACAAGCATGCCTTTAAAATCCTCCTTTCTTCGTTTTCTTATCTAGAAAACGTTAATTTACACATATGGTGCGGGTAGCATGTTGGCTACGATCTGTCCCTGAGGTCTATTCTTTTTGACTCATTGATGTTCTGGATGCCCAAAGGCCTTTTCCAGAATTCATAGGCAACCATGTTAAGTCGTTTCCAGGTCTTTTCTTAGTACGCTGCCGAAGACAGTTATTAATAGAAAGAAAGTTTGTTACCATGTAAATGTTACCCCTCCGAAAAGGCATCAATTCTTCCCTACAATACTCCACCGAGCGGTGTGACGTTTCAGACATCTCCATTTAAAGTAGAAAAAAACGTACATGACATAACCAATAATTTCATATTTTGTCAAAAAGAACGATTTTACTGGCACATTTTGTCTTAGTTCCCAGTATCGACTTCCTATTAACCTCGGCATTAGAATATGAATGCGTCGTTTTCTTGTTCAGCAATCGCGAGGTTTTTAAACAGCATACATTTACTTCCATAAAAACACAATACAATACAACGCTAGCTGACGTTTCGGCAGTATCGCCTTCTTCAGAGCCTGGAAGGGTATACTGATATGCAATCTACTAGGCCAAACGCTTCAATAACACTTACACAAAGACGAAAGACTCTATGGTAATTACACGATCAACAGCTTCTCGAAAAACTCACCGCTTTCTACGTGACTTCCAATGAGGAAGTTTTGAACAGCTGATTATAGTCGCATATGGCTGATGACCGAGAACGATTTTATATCATCTGAGTGAGGTAGCCCTTTTCAGTAAATAACAATGCCGCTGAATTTTTTTACTAGGGTTATTCTATTGTTAGTAATTTAATTATATTATTTATTAGTAATATTTTCACACCTTAGCAAGAAATAAACAGTTTTCTGCCCTCATTGTGTATTAGTGCTTCCGCTTCAACCAAATATTCCATAATATTCCACTAGTACATTAAAATTCGGAAAAGTCTATAGAACTTCATAGAAGCGAAAAACTCTTGAAGGATTGTGTATGATGCTTGACCGCATATGAATGCGTTCACGAACTGAATGAAAACTCGACATAAATAGAAATATAAGCTGAAAAATGGATTGAATTTCATGGGAAGGTGCCAGAAATCCTAAGCTCACAAAAGTATTCCGGAGATTTTCTGCTGCTAAAAGCGTTAAAGTAAGAGCATAAAGCTTTCCACCTTGATCAATTCCATTGGAATGCATCGCCCATTCGCTTTCATTCGTTTCAACCTAGGCATCACTGGATAATTATTTGGTTTCTATGATGCGATGACTTCTCGGTAAATACCGACCTATGAAGTCGGTGTTGTTAACCTCCCAGACAAGTTTGCTACCAATTTACCAATATTGGAGGATTAGGTGCATAAATAGCACTTTACTCGAGATCAAGCCTTCGATCACGTGTATGCTGCTGGGCGCCTCTGATATCTCCTCTATACTAATCTTCACTTAAAACCTGCACTGACTCACTGCTAGATACAATCTTCCGTTACTTTTTGATTTTATGCCGACGTCTTCATTTTACTTCACTCTGCGAATTTGGGAGTGCGGTGGTGCCGTGTAGCACAGTGGTGGTGGTGTCGTTCATCACGAGCACTTGTTTATTTTACTCCGTTCTAGGCTCACAAAGTCTCTCATCCCATTGTAATTCTCTGCCAGATTTGTCCGGGTAAAGATTATTTTCTGCAATCCAAGGCCGTATACTCTAGACTAGCTATCTCGTGGCTCCAAGGAGAAACGTTTGCAGATTATTGATGCGACGAAACGATCAAATGCAAGAAGTGATGAGATCCGCACAGCAGATGTGAAGATGGACCATGAAAACAATAACAAAAGGCAGCCATTGATTTTTCCTTTTTCTGTTTCCATCTTTTGTAACTGAAGATAAAAATGCCAATAGTTGATCGTGGTACAAGAGAATACGGAGAAAGGAATAAAATCCAGATTATTTTTTTAGTACGCCCATTTAACCATCAAGTTTTCTTTCTCGACATCATGTCATTTGAAATCTACCGTCTCAGAGTGGACGTTTGATAACGGAAGGTGGGGAATCGTTTTCAGTTTGGGAAACTCAAATCGAATCCAAAAGAAATCGAATCGACAGCGAAAGTGCCTATTTTACGGGATTTCAAAAACGTCTAAAGAAGTTTCTTGCAGTCCTTGTAATGTGTCATTTTATTTCCTCGACAGTCAATTATGATTGTTGTGATCAGGAAATGTTTTTAAGCAGGATAAATGTGGTGGAAACACAGAGCATTTCTAACCAAAGAATTCAGTTCAGAAATTTGTAATTCCGGCTAATTTCCTTTCGACGGTTTATCGCGTTGTCGTGGCTGGGAGGTGTTCCTGGGAGCTGCGATGAATCAGACTAGTTGCATGGTGGCAAACCCCCTTCTGATCCACAAGGGCTGCGAATTCCTGTGGTGGTGACGATCTGGGGCAGACTTTGGCCAGGCCGACTTCGGGACTCCAGGGAAACACAATGACTAGACCAGCAAGACTTCGAAAAATAAAGAATATGCTGCGAGCGGGGCAACTAGTGAGGACGGACCATCCAAGTATTCAAGCAAGTAAGTATTTATGATTTCCTCGAAAAATCAAGTTCAAACGGAGAGCATTGTTCTGGCACCATATTGTTGTAATGATTCTGATATAAAATGCCCCAAAGTGTTAGGGATGATAAGCCAGCGATGTGATAAGATAAATACCATCACTCAGCTTTAGCTATATGTTTGAAGAGGGCTCTATCATTTCCAGGAGCACTGACATACTATTCTTAGTTAAGGTTGGAGAAGGTAATGTAGCGCAGTGGTTAGAGATGTCCCGCACTAAACACGTGGTCCTTAGCTCAATCCTGCATCCGAAGGTGGGCAAACAACCAAACTCCCATCCATCTGCGGCCGGCAAATTGGTTCCACATTTGTCCGGTAGTATAGAATCACTGATCTGGTACATCGGTAGGCAACTTCAAGTCATTGTGAAGGCCAAATCTTTGACCACTCTCTGCGATGCTACGAATGGAGTTGAATACATGGTTCTTTCATTGGTAAGCTAAAAAATATGAATACATGATATTTAGCGTCAGAAACATATAGCAGATGGCACAGTGGTAGCGATGTCCGTCATCACGAGCACGGTGCTGGTTCGATTCCGTCCCGAGCCATCCAAGCCTCTCATCCACCGATGTCGGGAGATTGGAAATGGATTTGTCTGTGAAAAAATCACTTTCTACAATCCAATTGGGAACGCTCCAACCTGGCTATCCCAGGACTCCACGAAGAATTGCTCGGCGAGTATCCTACGACATTCAAGATGAAACGAAAATCCTCAAGCAGCAACCGAAACCACACCCAAAAGTTGGAAGATTTTCGTGGATAACGGATGCCAGGAAACGAATTGGATGTGGGAAGTGCTGCGATCCGCACAGTAGACGTGAAGACGAACCAAATAAAAAAAAATAAAAAATACCACTGAAAACTTTCTAGAAAAAATTTTACATATTGCTCGGTGGTTCCTTTAAAAGAGTCGTTATGAAAGCATACTACTTGACTTCTGGTTAGTTTCCTCTTCACATCACTTTCTGATGAATGTCTTCTGCAAACACAGAATTTGCCGCACGTAACTGAATATTCTTCCATTATTGATTATTGTCCATAAAATCAGAGAATTTTTGGAAGTTACTCATCTCATTGACTGTTTAGTAGTTTCGCCTTCTTTCGCCTTTCGCCTTCTTTCTGTTTTTGGAGCCCTCCACTTTCACTGCCGAAAACTGGAACTTGAAATGGAGTTGAGTACTCGAATAGATACCGTCTTTAAAGTGCACTCTTTCATTACACATTTCAGTTCAATCACTGCGAATGCTTTTTTCCTCATGCCGAAACCTCTGAGATCCTCTGAGATTCCTCTGAGATCTAACCCGCTGAGGAGTTTCACCAGTTGTGAGTAAACTTCTAACATACCAGAGCCACCTGTGGCCACCTCACTATAAAAAAAGGAAATGTAGGTCTCTTACAAATAGTTATGTTCCGCCTCTTAAAAAAGCTGATCACACTGATCAGATCTGGCACTCTCCGCGGAAAAATGAAATTTTTAT